CATATATATATATATATATTATATGAAGAATGCGTGCCCACCTGTGTTTCAAAACATGAATATAATATAGCGTAACAGTAATGAAACTAAGTTGACTTTAGAAACACTAAAATTTAAGATTCTGGATAATATATATTAAAAAGGCAAATGGGAAAACCCAACAGCAAACGGCCATATAATGCAAAACAATTTAAAATTAAATCGGAACAGAAGACTTGGCCATTGTCTTTCTTCGCTTGTCAACGATCGACGGCACGAAGAAAGAGAGAAGGAGCGCGCAAGTTCCACTAGGCTCATTCCCACAGCCGTTGATTTTTTCCACTTGACCCGATGTCAAATGTCATGAAAGCACCGAATGATAAAAGAACCGTACGTAATGATGAAAGGGCCGAAAGGTAAAACAAAAAAGCACCAAATGATAAAAGATCCGCAAATGTGGCAAAAGCACCGAACGTAATGATAAAAGCACCGAACGTAATGTTTCAAAGCACCGAATGTAATGTTAATAAAAGCACCGAACGTAATGTAAAAAGCACCGAACGTAATGTAAAAAGCACCGAACGTAATGTAAAAAGCACCAAACGTAATGTAAAAAGCACCGAACGTAATGTGAAAGCACCGAACGTAATGTAAAAATCACCGAACGTAATGTAAAAACACCGAACGTAATGTAAAAAGCACCGAACGTAATGTAAAAGCACCGAACGTAATGTAAAGGCACCGAACGTAATGTTAAAAGGGCCGAATAGGAAATGCGCCGAACGAAAAAGAGCCACCAAAGGCAGTAACGGCGTTCCATACTCCTACGCTGTGGCTGGTCCAGTACTACTATCGTACCAGATTTGTTGCCGTTCGCGTCTAAAGATTCTGTACCGGATTCAATTATCTTGATTCGTGGAGATCTGCGGTCCCGGATCCCATGTTTTCAGATCTCAAGATCCGGCAGTGAATTTTGACCATGAAACACGGACTGCATCTGTATGGCGATATGACATGACATGACATGTTGGATGTTCGTTGTGTTCATATTTCATAATTTACTTTATATATAACAGATTGGATGATACAATGTGTACATCATTGTGAATGTCCCAAGTTCCGTACAGAGTATCATTATTGTTTGTAGTGAATTTTCAACATGATGTCACAAACAAAGCAATTTCAGTCAGAAATGTTTGAAGAGGCGGGTCTGAATAAGTTTTCAAGTCTGTCCAATAAAATCACAATGATAGCTATCAATGTTTCTTTTGATTTTATACCATTCAATTTTGTGCAATACTTACAGTATATGGGATTTATATAGCACATAAACCAAGGTCTTTAGTGCTGAGTAATATGAAAAGAAAAGAAGGAAAAAAACTAATTAAACCAAGAATAAAAATAGAGTTTTCAAAACCAAGGAGGATTGTAGTCAAAACTATATAGCTAAGAAAACAGTTTTTTTTTGCAAAATTTAGAGATTGTGAGATTTTGTATTTGTATTATTTATTAAATATAAAGTAATCAACAAGGCTGCACAGGCATATTTCTGTTTTCCTGCATTCGTGAAGTTTTGTGTTTTTACATTTTCCCATAAAAAGTCAGTTGACTGTATAGATAGTGGTGCAACAACCTGTCACAGGGCCCAGGGGTGAGAAAGTCTTGGTGGCCCCATTCATTTTGTAGTTGATGACGAAGGTTCCTTCATAGTGGAATATTAAATAATACCTGCATGTAAATTATATTACTATAATTTAATTCAAACCTCTGTGAATTCTTGTAGCCCTTTAATTCATACTTCGTCAGAGTATCTAACTACTTGTAGTGGAGCCCAGCTGTGGAACATTTTAGGTAGTCAGTATCATGTTGTCAATATTACCTTATATGAATTCACTTAAGAAGTTTGTAAGTTAAAAACATGGAATTACGTAATGTCATGGTGTCTAGGCTCTGTTAGAAGAGCGCTGTTTAGTCGTAAGGAGGGCCCTTTGGACTGGGTGCCCATAAGCGTTATGCCACTGGCCATGGATATTGCCATGCCAAGCATACAGTAGCAAATGCTTACCTCAAATTTAATTCTGTTGTGAGACATGAAAACCTATTTATTCAACTAATTTCTGTATTTGCAGCTGTAACAGAATCACCAGATGAACGATTTGAAGGGAAGGCCTTGTATCTTGACCAGCAGGCCACAACACCACTGGTAGGCACATCAATATACTGTATCAAAATATGAGTGAACTTTATTTTCAAATTTTGTTTGTTTTATTAAACAAACAAATAATGTGTATATGTAGAGAACACTGGCATAATACCTATTAAAGCTTTTACTAGCTAATTTTATAATTATTATTTTTAAAATATGACTAACAATTGTATAAAATATATATTTATGTAGAATGGATATATAAGTTTTTTTTCCTTATAAATTTTAAACATTTTTTTTTATTTTATAGGATCCTAGAGTGCTTGATGCCATGATGCCGTACTCAGTAGCATACTATGGAAACCCTCATTCCCGAACTCACTCATACGGATGGGAGACGGAAGATGCCGTAGAAAAAGCTAGAGCAGTATGTATATTTAAAATACCAGATGTTGAGACACTGTAATAGAATTAAATAAACTATTATTAGTTGTCAGGGGTTCCAAGTTGGAAGAAGAAGAAGTCATTTCCTAGAGATGTGGTTAAATTTTATTTTGCTGTGCATGATGATATTAAAAATATAATGGTGACAATGATAAAATATTATGAGGAAGGTCGGTTTGGTTCTTGCTTCCTTGCATGTGTGTGAGGCCGTCCTGATTTTTAAGAGACACCAGTAACTTGAAACCCTTCAACTGTTACCTTAATGATGAATAAACTGAAACATTTAAAGTCAGCAGCAATGACAACACTATAATTTGTCAAATTTTCATTTTTATATTTCTAACAGCAAGTTGCTCACCTTATTGGTGCTGATCCGAGGGAAATAATTTTCACCAGTGGAGCAACTGAGTCCAATAACATTGCAATCAAGGTATGCTAAAAGCAACATATTGTTGGTTTTTTGTTAATACAGTTGAACCTCTTATAAGCGACTACCCTTGGGTCCAGAGAAAGCAGGTCTCAGGTAAGAATGTAATCACATTTTGACCTGAGACCCGCTTAGTATTTTAATAGGCTTTAGTAATCACCTACATGTAAAGTAGAGAGAGCAGCTTAGCTTAGTCGGCTAATCTGGTGGTAGCCACTGTGTGTGCTCTGAACCGTGGAGATCTCTAGGTCCCCGGTTCAATTCCCATCGCTGCCTCTCCTTGTGTTTCAGCTAGAGGGCTGAAATACAAGATACAATACCACACCGTCTTTCGGATGAGACGTTTAAGCCGTTGGTCCCGTGTGCATTTATGGCCCATGTGCATGTTAAAGAACGCAGTATACTTTTCGGAAAAGAGTAGGGGATTGTCTCCCGGTGTACTGTCCAATCACCACCAGAAGGACCCCACTGGAAATAAGTCTTATTCTAGGCTGTCGAGGGCTATCCTAGGTGTTTACACCGAATAAATTCAATCCAGGTGTTTTTTTAACTCGAGATGGTCACTTAACAAGGTAAAATACCACAAATAATTCAATTTTGAAGCGTAAAGGTGGTCATGGTTGCTTAGGAGAAGTGAGGGCTTACAAGATGGGGGCACTTATGAGAGGTATGCAGTGTGAATGGAAAACAAATCAGGATTTCTGTAAGTGGACCCTTAAAGGAGGTGGTCGCCTACAAGAGGTGGTAACACACAGAGGTTCAACAGTATCCAAAGCCCGTTTTTCATAAAATTGCTACAGTAGTTTGTCCTTCCTTGTCCCATGTACCACATAGTCTGTGAGTACAATGTAACAGATGTAGTATACTATAAAATAAACAATAATAGGAATTATTACTCTTTGTACAGCCATATCCACCAACAGAGTTATTTTTTGCTTAACCCTAATTTTTTGTTTAAATTTGTAATACAATTTATGCCAATATACTATGGCTACCAGTAATTTTTGAATTCTGTTTTGGCACAGGGAGTGGGGAGGTTCTACAAGAGCAAGAAGAAACATATCATTACATCACAAATCGTGAGTATTATGTTTTATAGTATACATGTACATGATTATGTATTTTATATTGGAATATTTTCAACACTCAACAAAATATCAGTTTTACTATTGAATCGAATCTAAAAATGAAAACAATCTTTTGTGAACCTATTTATATTAAAAATTATAATTTGATTTTTAGAATATATTACACAAAACTGGTATTACTATGTACTTATTGAAAAAATTTTGGAAAATGTTAAAAAAAAAAAAGATATGAGCAAGAGATTGAGCTACCCTACCCCAGGGTGGGGTACAGGCAGGAGGGCCTTGGACCTCAGTGAAGACAAGGAAATGCTGTTGTCCCTGTGCAAATAATTGTGTTCCTTGTGTCTAATGATTTACATTCTTATCAACTACCAAGCTCTACCCAAAGGAGGATATTATTAAATAAGTAAATGGCAGTTATTTCTGTTTGTCTTAAACCAGTCAAAGATTTGTTTCTCTCTCAGGAACACAAGTGCGTTCTAGACTCTTGCAGACAGTTGGAAGGTGAAGGATTTGAAGTTACCTATCTTCCAGTTCAGAAAAATGGAATTGTTGATTTAAAGGTATGAAAACCAAAAAAGTACACATTAATTTTGGCTCCTGATGTATGCATTATCCTACACCATTGAAAAAATTGCACTGCCCATGCTATATGAGCATGAGTCTGTGCATTCTGTAAACCTCAAATAGAATCCTTGGGCTTCTTGTTTTTTTTAGGACTTTGGATGGGCATTTTTTTCGAGATGGGCTTCTTTTCGAGGCAATATTTGCAAAGTTAAGAGGGAGGAGGTTTCTTTTCAAAATGAATAAAACAATAAATAGGGCCACTGAAATAACAGTCTGTGTCATGGAATGTATTAACCAGCATTAAATCACCTAATCTACTGTATAAACCAAACATGTTTTTAATTTTGTTTCTTTGAAATTCATGTACTGTACAGTGTATGTACTGTACTATCTCGAAAGAAAGCCCATGCCTCTCTTAGGCTTATTTTTAAGGCTACTTTTGCAAACTAAAGAGGTGGATTCAATTGTCAGAGATAGGCTTCTTCTTGAGATTGAGCCCATTGGGCTTCCAATAAAGGTTTTTTACGGTGTATGAGTTTGTAAACAACCCATCTCTACACATTGCTATTCTTACAGCTAAGTTGTATGTTTATGAGATTTGAACTCATGACCTTTACTTTAAAAGGTGAACACTTCTACCAAGTTGCAAGTTCCACTACAAATATTAACAGGTCTATTGGTATGTTTTTGCAGGATTTAGAAGCAGCCTTCAGACCTGATACAGTCCTGGCATCAATTATGTTTGTAAACAATGAGATTGGTGTTAAACAGCCTGTAGCAGAAATAGGTAGGTACTCATGAAAATATATACATTTGTTATATTAGCATCAACCACTGTGTTACAGAACTATTTAAGCCTATACTGTAACAATGGGATTCGCTTAACCTGTTGCAGAAACAAAAATAAAATAAGTTATAGATTTACTTAAATAAAAATTTTAGTTTTTGTTTTGTCTTATTGTTTACAGTTTGCCCTCCAATTTTGATACCACTTTTGGGGCTAAAATTTTGAGGAGGGTGGGGGGTTTTTGGAGCTCGGTCACCAATTAGGGGTTTAGCTTTGTGTTAAAAGATTGATGATTGTTATTTAGTTCTTTAAAAGTGGTCTTGAATTATAGGAGTCTCGAATTGGAGGGCGCACTGTATTCATGATTTACTAGTTTTAACAGATATCATATCATGTTCAAGCCATATAATGTATGCACCATTATTATTATTATATATTATAATTACAATATGTTGCTCACATTTATCCATAGTTTTATCACTTTTTGATTCATAAAGGATTTGTATTAATAGCTGTTTATTTTTTTCCATTTGATAGGAAAAATGTGTAGGGAAAAGAAGGTTTTCTACCATACGGATGCTGCTCAGGCAGTTGGCAAAGTGCCAGTAGATGTTAATGATATGAATATTGATCTGATGTCTATTAGTGGCCATAAGCTGTATGGGCCAAAAGGTAAAGGTTTTTTATCTTCATACACTGTTTAAATTATGTATCTCATCATGTGTCTGATAGCAGGCAATGGTTTGGTTCCAGTGGGTGATTCATGCAAGATATGTAGACATGATCCCTTTCATTTGATACATCGGTGATATCGGTATTTCCATGTCAGGGGACTGTTAAAGAAGTATGGATGTTGAAATATGCAATACACTTTTAGGAAGAGAGTAGGAGGAAGTCTGCTTTTGTACTGCCCAATTCACTACCAGAAGCTCCCCACTGTTCTTCAAACTTGTGGGTTATACTTGGTGTGTTTCACACCAAAGATATACTCCTATTCTATTATTTTTTACTGTTGGGAGCTTATGTGAATACATATGAATTTTAATGATTTTTATATCTTAATTATATTAGTGTATATGCACTGAAATTATTGTGCTCAGTATTTCCTTTGTTAGACAATAAAGTTTTTATTTTGAAGTTGGAATACTCCTAGGTAGTGATAATAATAATTGATTCTACATCTATTTAAAAATCCATTAAGTGCATATTTGTGAAATATGCTTTTCACAACTTGGTATTGTCTTTAGGCATCGGTGCTCTGTATATTCGTCGAAGGCCAAGGGTTCGAGTGGAACCACTTCAGAGTGGTGGAGGTCAGGAAAGAGGGATGCGCAGTGGAACATTACCAGCTCCGCTGGCAGTGGGCCTGGGATCAGCTTGCCAAGTTGCAGGAGAAGAGATGGAGGTAAGAGGAAATCTAGTGTTTGAATTAGATTGAATGACACATAGTTAATGTTCAATTGAATACATGACCATTTTACAAATTCTTCACCAACTGTAGAGTTGGCCCTCTAATTCAAAAACGCCTTTAGAGTTCACTCTTGAATTAGAGGGTTAGCTTTGTGTTAAAAGCTTGAAGTTAGTTGGTTTGTACTATGAAGAAGTGGTCTCAACTTGAAGGGGTCTTGCTTTAAAGAGGGTGCATTGTATTATATGACTAGTAGCCTGAGGTGAACAATGTTTTTAACCTTCAGTACGACAGCAAACGCATTGCAGCTTTATCAAATCGTCTCCTAACCAAGATTACAGACAATCTAACACATGTTATTCGCAATGGTGATGCGTACGAGACATACCCAGGATGTTTGAATCTGTCATTTGCCTACGTGGAAGGTGAGAGTCTTCTGATGGCGTTAAAGAGTGTTGCGCTGTCATCTGGAAGCGCTTGCACATCTGCGAGTTTGGAACCATCATACGTATTGCGAGCTGTTGGTGCAGAGGAAGACCTGGCACATTCATCCATAAGGTATGAACCCTGACTGACAAGCTCCATATAGTGATTGACAGGGTAAAAGGGGAAGGGGCTGAAAATTTGTTTCAAGACCACTCGGGTGAAGGGCTAGTAGGATTCAGAGTAAAGGGGCTGAAAATTTGTTTCAAGACCACTCGGGTGAAGGGCTAGTAGGATTCAGAGTATTAAACCCCTTATGTCTAGAGAAACTGGGCGTTTTTAGGCCATTTTAAGCTGTCATGCAGACTCATCCAAGAAAAAGGTACAAGAAAGAGTTTACAATGCGTCGCCAGGAATCCTTATCATCCATCAGAATTGTTAGTTCATTGGTTGATGTCCTTTGCCACATAGTCAGGTCAGGGCCTAAGTGAGAGACTTTGTTTGGCGTTTCTAATGGAGATGAAAAACAAGATGAATTGAATAGTAAAGCTTAAAATATTGAACTTTCTTCTTCTTTGTCTGATATTATCTCATGTTCAGCTTGCCAGTAAGTCCCATTGTTGAATAATAGCTCTAAAAATGTATATTTTACAGGTTTGGTATTGGAAGGTTCACAACAGAAGAGGAAGTGGATTACACAGCTGAACAATGCATTAAACATGTCAAGGCTTTGCGTAATATGAGGTAAGAGCTTCCAAATATTTTATTTTGATATAAGGATTATTAAGAGAACAATAATGAAAACTTATATATGACAACAATGGATAGGCTTATTAGAAGCTTAATCTACAAAATAAAATACATTGCATTTTGTTAAAATACATTGAAAAATTTATTTTTTCAGTCCTCTTTGGGAGATGCTTCAGGAAGGAATTGACATCAAAGAAGTTAAATGGTCGCAGCACTGAGTTACTTCTGTTATTGGTGCAATTACTGGGTTGGGTGTCAGTGTATTTATCAGTTGGGCTGTCTTACTTCCATTGGACTATCACTATAAACTATAACATTGGCTAGGCTGTTCCCCTACAAACATCTAGGTTGTCGGCTTTTTAGTAGTAAATCCTTAAGTATTGATCAGTTAGGCTGTCTTCCTTCCATTTGACTATAAACTATCACATTGGCTAGGCTGTCATCTTGCATTCAGCTCGGCTGTAGGCTTGTCAGTAGTATAATCCTTAAAACAGTCTAAATAAATCCTGGTAATTTGATTCAGATACCTATATTATCGAACATTACTGCATGTGAATATGTTATTGGTCAAACCATACATACAATAACATTCAATCAGAAATAAATTTAAGATGGGTGTAACAATAGCCACCGCCTTTTTTTTTGAGGCTGTAAGTTTGATAGATTTACAGTAGAAGATTTGTTATGCTGCCCTCTATTTGCACTATATAGTGGATGGAATTATTTAAAGTACGGTAGAAGATTTGTTATACTGCCCTCCATTGGCACTACATAGTGGATGGGATTATGTAAAGTACATGATACACTGAATAGCAATAATATTAAGCAGACTATAGGATTATAAGTTTTTATGTGATGTATTTGTGTTGTGTGCTTATATATGGACATGATATTGTCCAAATTCAGACCTGTCAGGTCTCACACTGGCTTGCTTGAAGTTTCTTTTGGATTTGCTTGAGATTGGGCATTTTTTGAAAATTATGCGCGAGGTCACAAACCTTTAGAAAAATACAGTCAAGTGTCAATATAACATACATCTTTACAGTGAATACATTGATACAAATTGTCACTTTGATATCCCATTTAGTTTTCTTCAGTTTTTTGCTGAGGCAGCGTCGAACACGGACAATCACTACGGGATCGCTGTTGTATGCTTGTTTTGAGAAAATAGCACATTAAAAAAATATAATTTGAAGAAATTCTGGAATGCGTGAGAATATGTAGGCCTCGCGTGAGGTCGCAGTTAAATGCATGGGACTCAAGATGCGCAAGACTCGACAGGTCTGCAAATTTGTACTGTAGTGTAGACAGGGGTTTAAAAATATTGTAATGTATACTAGTACAGCATACAAATATTTACTGGGTTGAGTAGCATTTAGTTCAAAATATAGAGTTAGACTGAGGTGATCTGGACGCTTTACTATGTAAAATACAGCCTCCAGATCACCAAGTGCTATATTTTGAACTATGACCTGATTAAAACCGTTAATATTTGTATTAATAGATTGTAGGCATTACATGTCACGGCTGGAACTAATGCCTGGAGTCTATGTATTCAGTATATAATACCAACTACAGGGTGTTAACCTCGTATAGTAAAATTAATTTCCTGTAAAATGATCTCACCATTTTTTTTGGAAAAAAAAAGATTACATTAGATGCATTTGAAGTGAATTTTAAAAACATTTTTGTATAACTACGGGTAAACTGCATCATTGATGATTATTGAAATATGATCATTATACAGTATTAGTTATTAATAAATACTGTAGGTTGAATATTTTTCTTTTGTTGAAGTGTTTCAGTTACAGGTTAATATCTTGGGTTTGTGGGGTTTTTTTTTGTTCAGTTAAGATCAACTCCTGTCCTCAAGGGCCAAGAGGTAAATATTTCTGCTTCTTGCAGCGAAGACTAGTAAAGTATTGTTAATTGGAGTCTGACCAATCAGCTTCTTGAATAACCATCACATGGGAGTTAGGTTGAATAAGGGACAGTGTATCCATTACATCTTGGTATTGGCACTGCACTGTGGCTGCCGTGGCTCCCAGCCACACTTTTACTAGATTTACTAGAAACCAGATGAAATTATTTTTTTATTCATTATTTGACTAATACCACTTTTTTGCATTTCTTTTTTTATTATAGTACCGTGGCGATAAAGAAAACTGCACGCACAATTTGTTTAAGAATAAAGTAATGATTAAATATTTTAATTTTGTTTATATAAAAATTTCTAAGATATACATATATAAATTTACAGTATAATAATAATAATGAATAAGATAGCTGCTGTATTCACTAGATAAGTGCTTCTATCTGTTTCTTCATATCTATCACAGGGTTGTAGCTCTGTAGAAAACTAAGAGTGGATAGGTGATAACATTAACAAACTAAATAGGATTTTATGGATGAAATTAGCTTTAGACTGGGTGGCCCCGCCCAACATATCTACATCCCTGCTCTCAACATTGATAAGCATTATTCTATTCATCCTTTAAATTCGGACAGTTCCAAGTGTTCTTGGGCTGATTGTACAATTCAATACATTCTTAACAGTTGAGGTCAACAGTTGGGGTGGGAGGGGAACATCTAGATTATGCACTGGCTCTATCCCAGCCGATGATGTTTACACATCATAACAGACCTTCGAACAGAAACAGAAGCAATTCTTTCTTGTTTTGATATTTTTTATTAGTAATGATTTTGATTTATTAATCATAGAAAAGTACACCAGTGAGGACTGCTATTATGTCTCCACTACATGCATTGTTTTAAAGGTGTACGGTCTGTTCAGTACTGCCTTTTAGCAACATACCGTAATTGGAATGAGAATAATAATATTCTTTGCATAAATTCTAAAGTTGTCTTACAGGTGTATTAAAAGATTTGTAGATCTTGGAAAACTGGAATGTTTTGACCTGTGTGTTATTGGAAGTGATCAATAATTTCTCTGCAATAAAGCTTTTGATTTTGAGCATAAATTCCTACATGCAAAGCTGGGTACTTAATCCAATGGCGCAACACCGTCTGCCGTCTCTCGGTGGCACTCTGCACTAATCATCGTGTGCGCGTTCCGGCGTTGCATTCTCCAAACAATCACGTCGGTAGACAACAGTTAGGTGCAGTGGATGCCTAGCTTTATGTAATGGTTGCTATTTTGACCCCATAAAAAACCCCATCTTAATGTCTTTGAATTGGAGTTCAATAATAAATGGACCCCCTTTTTCTCTCTCTTAACATATAGCTAGAGGAAAGTATAATACATACTCCAAGTATTGAAATACACGCCATCGTGTTAAAAAAAAAAATATAGCTAGAGGATCCCAAACTTTTTCATTTACATCACCTTTGTTTAACTGCAAGTAAGTGCCAGCACAGCAATTTCTATTTTGTTCTCAACTACATTAATATTTGTCCTCTTGGTAATCAAGACCTGAGTCTTGCATGTGGCATTACCTTGTGGTTAATTCAATCATGGAGTTATAATTAATTTTATAACTCCATGATTCAATTACTGTAGTATACTTGGCACAGAGGCTCTGCTGTACAGATTCATCCCATCTACATATAACTTTTGTGTGTATGATTACACCAGCCCACCTCATCTTTATTTATAAATGCCCTTATAAAAGCAGAAACAATTTTAGTTTTAGAAAAACCACTCTCTTTATTAACCGCCAGTCAACTATCTATTTCTGTCACCATCATCATCCTACAATATCATAAACCTCACATGAGTATATTTGCACAGTGTTGGTGATCAATAATGTTCACTTGAGAAAATTAACAGATGTGAATATCAGATACTCTGTCCTTGAATGTGTCGATAGATGATGAATCAACAAGTTGAGGTAGGCTCTTCCACAGATGGATGGATGGTGTCTGGGAAAAACAAGCACTTCCTCAATGTTGTACAGGATTTTGGTACGAGGAGTCTCTTGTCGTTCCATTGCAGACTGAATAAGTTCTCTGCTCCTGTACTTCTCCAATCAAAATTACTATGCCACTACTGCATACTCTTCTTGTGCATTTCCAGGGTATTATTATTATTCCAGGCTCAAAATTTGTCTGGATGATTTTCCAATTCAGTCATGAGCCTGGACTCAACTAACGGTAACAACTGACTAATGCTTGGCAGGTTGCAACTCACAAATGCTTGTTTGCCTGTCTTTTTCGCTACGGAAAAAAAAGGGAAACTGTCAGCAAGTGCTGTACCTGCAAATCATTGTGGTTAGAAAATATGGCAGGGAAGGATGAGCACCTTACCTAATCTCTGGGCTATTGTGTTGGCAGTCAAATCTGCAGTATCTCCTAGTAATGTTGTAAAATTAACATTTTTGTTCTGTAACAAAAAAAAAAGAAATAATCCTATAGGAGGCAAATCCCATTTGCTCTTGCGTGTTTGAATAAATAAAACACAAAATGCGCTGATTACAGCTACATTACAACATTATGGAATTCTCCCCAGAGAACTGAGTATGTGTTCCATATGTCCTCTTGGTCTAATGACTGGGGGTAATAATGGGAAGCGCTTTAGAAATCTCATTGGCATAAAGCACTATATTAAGTATAACATATTATTATGATTTTATTGCTTGGTATAATGTATAAAATATCATACTTAATCACAATTACACATGTCTGAGATCAAATGTCAAGAAAGGCGAGTTGGGTACATACTTTCAGCCACTGAGCTTAGTGCCAGCGATGGCTCCAGAAATTTGCTGACAAGGGGTATGACATGTCCGACGGGGGTATGACATATCCGACGGGGGGTCCGAACCAAGGGACCAGCTAGAGCCTCGGTATGAATAAATAAGGCCCTGGTAGGGTTCACAGGGAGAGTTTTTATGACCTAGTTATGGTCCAAATTGTTGCACAGTATCAAGGGAGGGGGAGGCGATTCCCTCCCTGTCAGCGCTGGCACCACCACTGTTTAGAGCCCCTTTTTCAACTTTACCTTAACTATAAGCTAACTTACAAATTTTGAGTTCATAGCTACAGATAAATTGGTTAATTCTTGTGGAACTGTACCAATCCATACCAGAAAACTGTCATTCAACTGAAGTATGTAGAAGTGGACGAGTTGTTCAAATAGAGATGCACTAAATCGGTGCTCAGTGAGCTGGCAAGTAGCTGGAGTAGTACTAACAGCAGACATGTTCAATTCTTCAAAAAATAAAGAAAAATGAATAACAAAATCAGATTGCCTATATTTATATATGAATGATATAATGTAAAGTAGAACATGAGGACCAATAGGCAAAAAAAACAAAGTTTTGTCATGCCCAAATGTAGGGGGGGGGGGACAAAGTGAATTTTTTATTTACTTTGAGGGCCACACTCAAACTTTTGATATTTCCAGTGTGCTTGCAAAAACATTTATGCACTACAGTGCTTTTATACAGCTTTATACAGCTTAATGCTAAATTTTCATATTACACAAATACTAATGATCAACATTAGGCCGTAAAAAACAACCTTGGTTCTAGCCTAGCCCAGTAGTTCTCAAACTTCTTGGCCAATGACATACAGTCCAGGGGCTGGATTTATAAAACTAGAAATCAGCTTAAATTCATAAGTCCATTTTTTTGCTTTAAGTCAAATTTATCACTATTGCCTTAACTTAAAAATTGCTTAAAATTAAAAAGTTGATTGTACGCATGAACCATCTAAGACCATTTTAAGCTATGATTTTGCTACGGTTTGATAAATCAGCTTTAAATATATCTAAATATTTTTTTACTTAAGACTGCTAAGCTGAGATGGATAAATCCCGGGCCAGGCAATTTGCAGCCGGGATGAAAAACAGATGCCCAAAATGGGTCATTAACTTGTAAACAAAATTGAAGTACCATATTAAAGTATAAAAGTCAATGTAAAAATGATAACCGCTGCTCTAGCCAGAGATGGCAGTAGATAATACTACTAGTAGTAGAGGAGCAGCACAAGGACTTTTTATTTATTTTCGCGGCCCACAGATCAATTGCTGTAGGGGCTGCGCACTGCAAACCTCACCTGTACCAAATAATGCACCCAACTCAATACCAACCAACCAAAATCTTAAAAAATCTAGTTCATTGTTCATTTTATTTCTGTTGAACTTTCTTTGGCCTTCATTTATATTTTTATAGAACAGTTACAATTCTACAACTAAAAAGGAAAATAATCATTCTCAGGTGTACAGTATTCTGTACAATTTGGGAAAGGCATACAAAAAATCCGTCTGGCCAGCAGTGGCGGCTCTAGGATATATTTTCTGGTGGGGCTAAGCTGTCCAACAGGGGGACTAGGCTAGAGCTTGTAGGCCCGAGCCGGGAAAGGGGTTCTCCCTCCCAAATGAGATATTTTTTTAAAAACATATATTTAAGAATTAGCAACCTCTGGATGGCCGGAAATGGCACTCAGACTGACATGTGTTGGCTTGGTGTGGGCATATTTTTATAATTTTTATGGTCTGACTGCCCAACAAACTCTGTCCGACGGGGGTGCTTGAGTGACCTGTCCGGTGGTGGGGTCTTAATCCCCCTGCTGATGCCGCCACTGCTGGCCAGGACCAGGTAATCTTAAGGACCGCCTCGGCCAAGCCTGGAGTCTAAAAAGGTAGCTTAGGGACCGTACCGTACCGACCGAGGCTAAGCCTACTACTACAGAGTACTACCACTATTATATTATATATACTACTACTAGATACTACTACTAGATAGTAGTACTGCTACTACTCTAGGCCTAGGCTAGGCTAGGCCAGAGTTTGCGTAGGCCTAGGCTAGGCCTCTCTCTGGGGTAGCCTACCACCACCATCTATCCATGTTGGAAATTTTACACACTCCATGATCCAAATTAGAGTAATATACCTGGTAATACTAGGCCTCCGGTAATTCAGGATTTTTAATAGTATGATACTATTTACTAGGCCCTAAACTGAAGCCTATTTTCCAGCCTAAGTTCCCTTTTTTAAAACAGTTGACACACGTGCTGATAATCAGAATATTGATAGTGAGCCCTCAATGTACAGAACTAAACGCGACGGAGCGTGAAATTTAGGAGAACATTTTGAATGATTCAACCAATCAAATGCTTGCTTTGAAATGGGCGTCAATAAATTTTGAATACTGCATCATCCCTGCAATTGCCCAGAGTTCAAAAAGCAAGCAGGCAGTTGGACAAAGGCAGTTGGACAAAGACATTTGGACAAAGACATTTTGGCGGAAATCTGAGTTTATCCAGGTTAGTAATTTTTATTTTAGCCACAATTTTCGTATGAGTTACCACCAGAGTAGTGGACGAGACATTACTGTGTTGTGGTGGCGATACTTATTGAACATGGAGATTGAAATGTCGTGGTTTTTTGTTTATGAATTATAGGATAAGCTAGCTAGAAGAGAGGGGAAGAATGTTTTGCAAATACTGTACCTAGGCCTAGGCTACCTGATCCGGGTTACACCTCTCCACCAAAAAGTCCCATTGCATTCATTAGGCCTAGCCTAGACTTCTAGGCCTACTGTAGCCCTCATTCATCAGCGTCTGTTAATTTAATTTACCATACTGCTGAATTTGGCCACACCGTCACTGAACAATATTATTTATAGGCCTAGGCCTAATTACCGATATTTATTATATTTAATTTATTAATGCTATAATATAGGCCTAGGCTAGCCTAGGCCCTATAAATAATGAATAATAAATTGATTAAGATTGAATGAATAAAAATACAGTACTGTAAATGTTACTTTGATTATAGGCCTATGTTTACTGTGATGAGGTGACAGGTAAATCTTGCATGATTTAATTTATACTTCCTTTTCAGTTCTGAAATATATTTTTTGATTAGGCCGCCGCCTATTCTATAGTAGTAGGCTATAGTCTAGTGTACTATTTATAATTTGTACTCTATCTAGGAGGACAGGGGTTCTCAACTGGCAGCCCACAGACCAAGTGCGTGTTATGCGAGTACAAGCCGAAAATAATATTTTCTGTTAAGCTCGGTCCTAGGCCTACAGTAGTTCTAACCTTAATAATTTTGCATTCTGTTGCTGACTAGGCCTATTATTGTCCCACAAATTGTAGTGATTTAATCAATCAAGTCAGAAGAACCATCACAGCAAACAGCAAAGAAAACATGCCAACTTGTATGAGCGTCTAGCAGCTTATTATTTTCAAAAAATTCCTAAAGGGGGACACCCCCTCCCAAACCTTCGCACTCTCCCGCTCGCACCTGCGGCGCTTGGATGGCGCTATGCGCCAAAGTACACCTCCTGCCCCGGTCCTTCAAATATATTCAATGAACAATATTGGCCCCTATTACAATATACAGTAGTTAAGAACCTCTGGTCTAGGGCCTAAAGTGATCATTCAGCCCTGGCCTGATCAATTAGCACCCTCAGTACCAAGTAACAGTTAAATCATGGTTAAATTAACTGTAATTTAACTGTTCTCTGCTCAGTACATATTGTACAATTAAAGACAAAATAATAAAAATTAACTAGATTTTAAACATTAACATATTAAACAAATAATTAAATTAAAACAGAAAAATGAACAAAATCTGAAATATATTTAAAATGTGAATAAAAAAACATTAAAAATAATTTTTAAAATGCATTAAAGTGAAAAATAATTGAAATAATAATTAAAGGACACATTGACAAATTATAGAAAAGCATGTAAAAATTCCAATGAGAGAAAAGGAAAGCAAAAAAGCCAAAATTAAAAGAGAAAATAATTAAAACTGCTTAACATAAATAATAGTATCTTGAAATATATAGATTTATAAAAGATAAATAATTTTTAAAACATGAGAATCAAATGTTGGGTATCTTATAAAAGTCGCTGTGAAATATAATATTAAATTATTACTATATTAGATGGGTCGCGGCTTGTGTATGAAATCACAACTTGGATGCCAGAGAAAAAAATTTTAAGAAGAGGGGCTCTAACTGCTCAAATTGTGTATAGCTTCAGTCACATGTTTGATACAATAGCATTCCAAGGACATTGATTTTGTAACACCATACAGTTGTCTGACCTGAGTGACTCATCACTATGATGGCGGAGTGATACTATTCACTTGTGCTAAGGCTCTCATTAATATGCAAATACACAACTATAAATGCTGGGCTCCTAGTTGAATACTGCGAGTTAGTCTTTTCATTGCACAGACAGGTGTTGTAATAAAGCATTCCATTTTTCAATATATTCTACAGTAAAACAAGAAAAAATTCATCATGAGGGAAATTGTTCATATGCAAGCTGGTCAATGCGGAAACCAAATTGGTGCCAAGGTAATTTTTTTTTCTCCTCCACATAAAATTCTGGTTTACTTCAATAGTTTCTAGGAGCTTGTATAGTCCAATGTATGTTTTGTTGTCATAGTTACACCACAACAGAATTGTTTTTGGTATATTTTTTTCTACAGTATTTCTTTACATGTCTAATGTAGTTGCCCCAAACTAGTCATTAAATGTTCAATACATTTTATTATTTCCGATAAATATAGATTTGTTTTTAAATCTAGATTTGCAACACAGCATTGGTTGTCTCATAGCAACCATAAACCAGTGGTCCGTGCAGAGCTTGCAAATCATTATTAAGGCCCAATAAAGCAAAATGATTAGTTTATCACCCTTGTGTGCATGTCTTCTGCAGTATTAAAGAAAAAGTGAAATTTTTTTTTCCATTTACATATATTTGTAATTTTTTTTAGTATAGTTAGTAGATATTGTTTGTATTATCTCAATCATGTATTATACTGTGAATATCAATATATCAGCAGCAAACAACCAAAAGGGTGATATTTGGCTTTAGAAAAGTAATAAAATATAATAGCCTCCCTCCCTCATCACTTTACCAACCCAGATGGGGGTGATACATTTTTATTGGGCCTAATTATGTCCAACATTTGTATAATGAATACAGTATTCAGTTTCATAGATTCTCAATATCTTTGAAAAAACGTAGTTTTATCAGAGCTTTTTCAATTTTAAAAAATATTTTTCTTTTAACTGATTGTTGCTACCATGAACATTTTTCACATATTCTCCCCCTGATGTGCTCCATTTATTCTATTATTTATTTTTTTATTTATTTTTTTAATGCATAAGCTATTTGTTGTGTTTTTTCTGTGTACATCAATTTTGTTTTACTTCTCTTGGTTTGTATTACGCCCGTATTCTTAAAACAAACTTTAGTCGGACTTCAAACTAGAACTTCATTTAGTGCTAGTTGCAACTTCAACTTCAATTTGTATTCACAAACAACGTAGTCGAAGTTTTAACTACGACTAAATCAAGTCCTAGTTTTAGTTCAACTGAAGACGACTGGCAAGCCACGACTATCAAACTAACCAATGAAAAGGGCTAACTTTAATAGCAGACAAAATTTTAGAGATCCGGTAACGCGGATTAATATTAAGCTGCCGCCTGTGGTTCAAAAACGTATTTCCTCATAATTCATAAGAGACCATCATTCGCTTAATTAATTTTCTATAATAATAACTATATTAGTTGTTAACATATTACGATAGAGAATTTGAACAGTCAGTGAAAACTTGCTTTCTTTGGCGAACTATTATAGTTGAGCCCGAGCAAGGGCGGCGCCATCTTTGTTGTTGTTATTGTGAGGCTACGTGACCGCAACACGAGTTGATTTCATGCAAATCAGGAATTATCGCATGTGGCTAGCAAAACATGTTAGTTTCTCTTTTTGGAAGCTAAACTTGATATCTCTTTTGTTTAACACACCAAAGATATATCAAACCTGCGTATACAATCATTTTTATTCGTTTCACTTTATCGTGAGTTACAAAAAGCAATTTTTCAGTGGGGTAAATATTTCAAGTCAGCGATTTAGCCTGAACTTAGGCTGACTAAAAAATCGGCCTACGGAGGTATCATTTTAGTCGAGGTTTGCGTCATTTAGTCGTAGTGCTAGTCGAAGTTCGTTTTAAGAATACGAAATGACGTAATATTTAAGTTTCAGGGCCCCTGAATATCAGCTGACCTTTTTAAATAAATTTGGAAATAAAAATAAAGTTAGTAAAATGTTTATAATGTGTTGAATATCATGTGTTGAATATAAATTTGAAGTACAGTTTTTTTAAAATAACTATCCAAAATATATTACAGTGCAATATGATATATTATAACAAACTTATTTTTCAGTTCTGGGAAGTAATTTCTGATGAACACGGTATTGACCCCACTGGTACATATCATGGAGACTCAGATCTTCAACTTGAAAGAATCAATGTCTACTACAATGAAGCCACTGGAGGCAAATATGTCCCACGTGCTGTGCTTGTTGATCTTGAGCCAGGTACCATGGACTCTGTCAGATCTGGCCCATTTGGACAAATCTTTAGACCAGACAACTTTGTCTTTGGACAGAGTGGAGCTGGAAACAACTGGGCTAAGGGCCATTACACAGAAGGAGCTGAGCTTGTAGACTCCGTCCTTGATGTTGTCCGCAAAGAGGCAGAGAGCTGTGATTGCCTTCAGGTATGGTACTCCTTTTACTTGTTTCTTTTTTACATTCATTTACATCCTCATCATCTGCTCGCTTATTCATCATTTGTAGAATCTGATCAGATGATTTCACCCCTTTCTATCATTGGCCAGCTCCCTCACTTCTTTTGTTTCAGCTCTCTTCAAATTATATCACTTTAGGTCTTTATTAATTGTGTACATCTGGGCCTTTTTACTTCCTACCATTTTAATACTTCCTACCATTTTATTACATTTATTTTCACTTGCTCGCTGTGTATTATTTTTGTATGTGTATATAATGTTTAAAATAATAATTCTTCCTCATTTTCATTTTCAGGGTTTTCAACTTACACATTCCCTTGGTGGTGGTACCGGCTCTGGTATGGGAACGCTCCTCATCAGCAAAATCCGTGAAGAATACCCAGACAGAATTATGAACACATTCAGCGTTGTGCCATCTCCCAAAGTTTCAGACACTGTTGTTGAACCATACAATGCTACCCTATCAGTACATCAGCTTGTTGAAAACACAGATGAAACATACTGCATTGACAATGAAGCCCTCTACGACATCTGTTTCCGTACATTGAAACTAACCACACCAACATACGGTGACTTGAACCATCTTGTGTCTGCTACCATGAGCGGCGTCACCACTTGTTTGAGGTTCCCTGGTCAACTGAATGCCGATTTGCGAAAATTGGCTGTCAACATGGTTCCATTCCCACGTCTTCATTTCTTCATGCCTGGTTTCGCACCATTGACCAGCCGTGGTAGCCAGCAATACCGTGCGCTCACCGTCCCAGAGTTGACACAGCAGATGTTCGATGCCAAGAATATGATGGCTGCCTGCGACCCTCGTCACGGCCGATACCTCACAGTCGCTGCCATCTTCCGTGGACGTATGTCCATGAAGGAGGTTGATGAGCAGATGCTCAACGTTCAAAACAAGAACAGCAGCTACTTCGTCGAATGGATCCCCAACAATGTAAAAACCGCCGTCTGCGACATTCCACCAAGAGGCCTCAAGATGTCTGCCACCTTCATCGGTAACAGCACCGCCATCCAAGAGTTGTTCAAGAGAATCTCTGAGCAGTTCACCGCTATGTTCCGTCGTAAGGCTTTCTTGCATTGGTACACTGGTGAAGGCATGGACGAGATGGAATTCACAGAAGCTGAAAGCAACATGAATGATCTTGTGTCTGAATACCAACAGTACCAAGATGCCACTGCAGAAGAGGAGGGTGAATTTGAGGAGGAGGAGGAAGGCGAAGAGGAAACTTAAATTACTTGAACATTTTTCATCTCTAAAATTTTTTCTGTACATGCTTTCAATTATTACTGTTTTTCACGTTTTTGAAAGTTTGTAATTTAGATGAAATTATTTTGATATGAGTGCAATACTGTACCATTTGATAAACTTCTGTTTGGCATATTCTTTAACAAGTTCTATAAGCATCTGAAGCTACAAACCTGACTGCTAAAACAAAACAAACCTACAGTGACTTTAATAAAAAAGTGTGATGAGCAAATATTTTTACTGTTTCATTCCGTTAGTTACTTGACTGTGAAATCGACCTTTCCAGATTATCGACTTAAACGTAAGTGACAAATCAGAGCAGGACTTGATATATGCGCATGTCCCACAAAGTTTGCATACATTTAGCACAGTAGTTTTGTGGGACCTTAACAATATCCAAGGGGTGGGCGGGGCTCAGCAGAAAGTGTGGATGTTTTTTGTTTTTTTGGATGGAAATATGAACGGCAGTAAAAGCAGGTTGCTTTTAAGGATGAGTTTACGGAGCACATTTTTTATAAACATAATATCTGTTAAAACACGAACCGTCTATGAATAATTATATATATATATATACAGTAATTACTGCACTGTACTCAAGTAATAATTGAGCATAGTGTGTCTCAAGGCTGCACATATGCTTTGCCAGTTACAGTACTGTACTGTACATTTACTGCTGTACATTCATTATTCAGGGGCGGATCCAGAGATGTCCAAAAGGAGGAGGGGCCGAAAGTTAACACAGATTAAGATAACACTACCCTAGGGGGCCCTAACCTGTGGATTGAATTCTTGCGACTTATCGTGTACTGTATCAACATCCCTTTGTTTTTAAATCTCAAACTATAAATGTACAATACAGCTATAAATATGCTCTTCAACAGTTAATACACATACTGTATTACGTTCTAGCACTGTGCAGTATTTAAATTTATTTGATACATGAATACAGTTGGATATTATGTTTCGTTAATTAATTACCGGTATATCTATTACAATTACAGTATAACGTTTTCCTTCTTAAAATGGAACCATACGCCAGAAGAGCATCGGTGCATGATTGATTGGCAGATACTGATGCACTGCATAATTAATTTCTGCGTTCAGCACCCTTTGTTATTTGTATCATAATTTTGACATTAAAGTACTGTCACATGGAGCCCCATTCAGTGTTTAAGCCATTAAATATAGTATACGTTCACATTTTGGGTGTTACAATTTACAGACATCATAGATATATAGGCCTATATTTCTTTCTAATTACAGTATATAAATTTAATTTAACCATCCATCCCTGTTTACATTCAACAATAACAATTTTGTTTCGCCCTCTGACGATCTTAAAAAAAATAAAGTCTTGCCTCACACACAAAAATATAAGCTGTACCTGTATTTACATCAATCAAATAAACATGCACATTTTGGGGATCTATAGTTTTAAGTTCTGTAATTGAATGTGAATGTTTTACTCAGCAAGTTTGAACTGGGGGTGTAAACGTTCCCCTCCCGCAACCCAGTTACAATGCTTATCTTATACAATAGACCTACTACACTGATAAGCAGCCCTACCATTATGATGGGGGTTTTTTTCTCATCTAACGTCCTGTTTCTAAGACAACATAACAAACAAGAGGTAATTTAAATATCAATAGGGCAAATACTTAATGAAAAACCACAGGACAATTGATTGACAAGTACTGTACAATACACTTGGAGTGGATGCTACGTCATTGATAGAAGGTCATCAGGTTGGTAACCATGACAGATACTACTCAGCTCATATCAACACTACAATTCCTGTCGATCCGAGGGAGTCCCTTTCAATGCTTTAATATTTTTATTGTACCGGAGCATCATGGTATCCTGATAAATATAATGATAATAACGATGATGATAATAATAATTAATGGTAATAATAATGATAACGATGATTAAGATGATAATACTAATTATATGAATAATAATGATTTTTAACCACATGCATGCGCGCATTAAAAAATCACAGACTTGGTTCCTTTTATATTAAGGGTGATTGCAACAACATAAAAAAAGAGAATTATGCTGAATCAAGGAGATATATTTATATAAACACGGCTTACAGTCAAGCGAAAATATTTCAGTATGAAATTTATACCATTCCACATACACTTGTGTTCGACCAAGATCCACAGCTTAAAATAATGGGCCATGAAGGAGGACGGACCTATGATATCTAGGGTAGGGGTATCCAGACTTTTCTGTAAACCATAGAAACCTAGTAATTAGGCCTATTTTATTCATCATGATAGAAAATACGTGAAAGGCCCACACACACTTACACTTTTATATTAACAATAAAACATTTGAAAAAAAAAATCCAATTAGACTCAATAGATTTCATTGATTTAAAAAAAAAATTGAAATCATACGGTCACAAAAAAAGTTTTATTGGATACATTATTATTTAATAAGGAATATAAAATGAGAACTGATTCCAGTAGAATAACGATACCACAGCCAGCCACGAATTTATCTTTTATTACATTGTAGCCGGCCGGTAGAAAGAAGCCCTATTTAAATCAGATGGATTCGATATACCGGTCTGCAATTTTAAATTGCTTAGTGATATTGTTTGGTAAGTACCGTTGGCCGTGTCCGATGTATCCTAGCAGCGGCAAAATGTGTACAGCATGCTTGGCAACGTTTTATCTCGTTTTATCAATCCAGAAGAACAGAGCAACGCATGTTTGTTTCCGTACCGGTTGTAACTAGGAGCATAGAGAAAATAGGAGCATTGTTGGGTCATGGTTTAAGGGATCACCTGAGTGTTTAGAAAGTTCAATCGATGCCCTTGAATTCTGTATTG